TTTTGTTTTAATTTGTAGTTTTCTGGAGGCAGGACATAGTTTTGGTGGAGAGGTTTCCAGAAATCATCCCCAACACAGTGTGTTTCTCTTCTGGCAGGGAGGGACTTGCTCCCTTGGTCTCTCGCTATTCTTCACCCTGAAGGGGCAGAGGGTATATGGAGCCTGTGGTGGAAGTGAGAGACCTTGAGTACATCCTGCTCCTCAGTGGGCCTCAGGTTGCAGTAGCCATGACTGTAAGAGTCTCATCGTGCCCAAGCTAAAGAAATTAAGGACACAAGGGATGGGCATATTTTTAAGGGAAAGTAGAAAGCTGGTCTGCTGTGTGGCAGAGGAGGAGATAGCATCGAAAAGGCATCAAGAGACCCTGAAATCAGGTATCTTCATCATCTCAATAATGAGGATAGCCATCATTTAGAAATGCCCATTAGGCACTTCATAAAAGTTATTTCATCCTCCCAAGAACCTTATATGGTGTATAGTAGACTCATTTTGCAGCTGAGGAAACAGCTTGAGTCTTGTGAAAACAGTAGAAAGAACATTGTTCTGGAAGTCATTTATTGCCTATACGACCTTGGGCAAGTCATTTGCCTTCCCTGGGCCTCAGGTTCCAGTTTGAGCTAGATTATCTCCAATGCCTTGTGTAGTTCTAACGTAAGTGGATTGAGCGTATAGGGCAGAGAAGCCTAGACACATAAAACCTTTTATCAACCGATCGTCACCGTTAAACTATGCCAGGTAGCATTTCCCATTCAACAAGTATCATTACCACTGACAGGCCAGGCTCAGTGCTCGGTTCCCGGATGCAGAGGTGGACAAACACAGGCCCTGCCCACATTGGGTTGACTTGTGGTGACCTTGGGTTATCTTCTTAAATAGACTTTATTTTTTAGAAAAGTTTTAGATTTATAGAAAAATTGAGATAGTACAGACAGTTCCATATACCCTCTCACCTAGATTCCCCTATCATTAACATCTTACAGCAGTTTGGTATATTTGCTATAATTAATGAACCAATATGGATACATTATTAACTAAAACCTATAGTTTATTCAGAACTTTGTTGACGCGAATAATCCATAACCAGTCTTTAAATCAAAATTGGAGTGAGTTTCTTGTGAGCCACATCTGAGGACTAGCCTACGGTCTTCCTTCCCCAAGGAAGGAAGGGCACCAAAGAAGTGGGGGTGTAGAAAGTGGTTATATACCCTCAAAGAGCATGTATCACATATGATTGGAATGTCCCTTTTACAGCAGTCAGGAGATTGGCTAGCGGGCACAGCACAGCTATTCACATAGCAGGTGGCAGTTCTCCTGTCTGGAGCCGGGTGGGCACAGCAATCAATTCCTAGCCTAGGGAGAGAAGCTTATCCTTAAGGACATGCCAATGTGAGGGAAGTTGCACCTTGATCTTAAGGGCATTTCTTCTTGTCCTTGGGACATAGCAAATGCTTAAAGCAGATGTACAGTGCATGCTCACCAGCCACATTGGGTCCATTTGGAAGAACAAGGTCAGGCCGAATTAGGTTTATACCAAATGGCTTCCTCCTGTACTCCAATATATCCGACTGCTTGCCATTTGTTTATCAGCTCCTTAGTTTTACCTAATGTCTTTTTCTGTTCCAGGGTCCCATTGTAGACTTAGTCATCATCTCTCCTTAGGCTCCTCTTGGCTGTGACATTTTCTCAGACTTTCCTTTTTTTTATGATCTTGACAGTTTTGAGGAGCACTGGTCAAGTATTTTCTACGATGCCCCTCTCTTGAAATTTATCTTATTTTTTTCTCATAATTAGACTGGGGTTGTGGGTTTGGGGGGGGAGGGAGAGCATCATAAAAGTGAAGTGCTGCCTTCATTGCATCACATGAAGGGTACATACTGTCTACATGACTCACGACTGTTGATAGCGGCCTTGACCTGGCTTTGATAGTATTTGTCAAGTTTCTCCACTCTAAAGTTACTCTTTTTCCCCTCTTTCCACCATGTGCTCTTGGAAGGAGTCACTCTACACAGCCCACACTTAAAAAGTGGGGAGTCAACCCCCCATCCTGGAAGGCAGAGAATCCACATAAATCATTTGGAATTCTTCTCCAAGAGAGATTTGCCACTTCTCCCCCCTTCATTTATTTATATCAGCGTGGACCCTATTTATTTTCTACTTTGGGTTATATTTATATTTATTATGTTTTCTATTTTGGGTATTTATTTTTAACTTGGGGCTATAAATCAATACTACTTTATTTTTTGATCAAAATCTTCCAAACTGTCTCTTGGGAGTTCTTTCAGTTGGCTCCCGTGTCCCTTTGACATATCTCCATCAATATAGGGTCTTTTTGCCTTTTGAGCACTTCCTTACTTTCTGGCACTACGAGACGCTCCAGGTTCATCTTGTATATTTCCTCCCCCAGTCCTAGCATCAGCCATTTGTCCTTGAAGCCCTGGTACCTTTTATCGAAGAATGGTATTAGAAACCAAGATCTGGGTGCTAAGTGTACTTGTTGCCAGTGGGTTTGTTGCTGTTTTCTAAAGATTGGCACCTGAGCTAACAACTGTTGCCAATCTTTTTTTTTTTTTTTATGCTTTTTCTCCCCAAATCCCCCCAGTACCTAGTTGTATATTTTTAGTTGTGGGTCCTTCTAGTTGTGGCATGTGGGATGCCGCCTCAACATGGCCTAATGAGCTGTGCCATATCCTCACCAGGATCCGAACCGGTGCAACCCTGGGCCGCCGAAATGGAGCGTGCGAACTTAACCACTTGGCCGGGCGCCGGCCCCTGTTGTTTTTAATTGTAATTTTTTCAGATTATAAAATAAATGCATGCTCATTATCGGAGGAAATGTATAAAGACAAAAATCATCTTAAATATTCCCACTACTCACAACCACCAACACAAAAAGCAGACATTTTGCTTTTTCTCCTCCTTGGGTTTACACAGCCAGAGCTGGAGTAACAGACTGGGGAGGGTGAAGGGAGAAATTCTTTTGTTCCACAAAAATCTACCGGATGCTGACAACACAAACTGCCTGGTCAGCCAGCTGCCCCAGCAGCTCTCAAAGTCTGGAAGCCCATCCTGAAACCACAGAACATACGAACTGGATGGGATCATGGAAATCAGCCGCTCCAGCCCCTCACTGTAAAGATGGTCACTGCTGGGAGGTAGTGGTTCTCCAGGCCAGGCAGGGACTATGACTAACCCAAAGCCATACCACAAGGAAGTCACAGAGTCTGGCCTGGACCGAGTGCCAGAGACCAGACTGCAAATCAAGTACATTTTCTGCTATGATTTTTGAGGGCACTAAATATTATGACTTGGAGTGATACAAGCCAACAATTAAGAGAACTGACTTTAGCAGTGTGCTCAGTGGGTTTGGTTCCCAGGCATGGACCTACACCACTCATCAGTGGCCATGCTGTGGCGGTGACCCACATACAAAATAGAGGAAGATTGGCACAGATGTTAGCTCAGGGCGAATCTTCCTCAAGCAGAAAGCAGAAGACTGACAACGGATGTTAGCTTAGGGTCAATCTTCCTAAGCAAAAAAAAGAGAGAACTGACTTTAGGATCAGACAGACCTGAATTTGAGTTCTGCTTCCACCACCTATTGCTGTGTGACCTTGGGCAAGGTACTTAAATTCTTTGAGCCTTGGTTTTTTTCATTTGGAGTAACAATAGTAATAGTTACAACTGTATAGTGTTTATATTCTAGGTACTGTGGCAAACGTTTTTCATGCATTTAATTCATTGTCTCTTAACAACTTCATGAGGTAGGTGATATAATTATCCAGATTTTACAACTGAGGAAACCAACATAGAGAAAAGTAAAATGACTTGTCTGAGGTCCCATAGCTGGTAGGTAGCAGAGCCCTGCTTTGAACCCAGACCTTTGTTGCTGTTACATGAGACCTCCTCTCTTTATCTTAATAATAAGATATTGATTTTTCCTATCTCAAAGGATCATAGTGAAAATTAAATGAGAACATCTACGTAAAACACTCAGAACACTGCCTACCATTTGTTACCTTTTAACAAACGCCAGCTGGCATTATTATTAATACCACTTCTACTGCCTTAAAGCTCTAGTGATTTTCCCAGTATGGTACTCAACTCATGAAGGTCCAAAGATTGTAAACCTAGGAAGTAGGAAGTATGCAGCTGTCTGCAAGGTGCTTTTAGTATACCTGTGAGGTAAAACGAACACGTGCAAAACCATTTGAGACATAAACAAAATCATTAGTTAACGCTAAACTTCGTGAACTGAAGCCACTTGTTACCAGAATTCTGATTGGACACAAGGCCAGGTAATCCCAGTGCTTTTCCACTGTCAATTGAAAAAGCAAATTTGCCTGTTATTTTATCTCAAAATGAGTTTATTCAGGAATAGCCAAAAGAATTGCAATTCCGGACGTGCCTGCATGGCAAACCATAGGCAAATCCAGAAAACAAAGACGGGGAGCTGCCTTTATAGAGAAAAAGAGAAAAGGGGAGTAGGGAGGGGCTGTTCTAAAGGGATGTCCATTGGGGGAAAGTAGCAGTGCAGGGCGGCAGCGGGTTCTCATTGGGCGGTTACAGAGCCAGGAGAGAAATCCTCCTGCAGCAGCGAAGTGGTTTTACTTCCCGTCCAAGATGCGAGCATCCCTCTCTTCCTGTTTGGTGTAATTGACCGTGTGCGCCAGGGCCTGAGAGCTCCCCCTGCAGGCCTTCCCGTCTCCAACTTAGTTAAGGTTTCTTTTACCAGTTTCCACACAGCCCCACGTTTTCCTTGGCTCCCAAATCTCGGATCCTCTCTTCCACGCTCATCCAGTAGTTTGAGCTTCCTCTCCCTGGCCTAAGCAACGTTACATCTGAACCTTTCCCTGTCCGTAAAATAGAGCACATAGTACCCGCTTTGCGGGGTTTTGTGAGATGTGTGTAGGACACAGTGGGTGTGCGAAGGCGCTTTCACTCCAGTTTGCTGCTACACTGCGAAATCAGGGTAACCCTGGCCGGCAGACGTCCTGCCACATTTCCCAGGAGGCCGCGGGGGCAAGGACACCTCCGGACCATAGAGCTCAGTTCCTAGCTGAGCCTCCGGCTCGCTACTTCCGCTCATCGGCCTAAAACCGCGCCTGCGCACTGCATCCCTTCCTCTTTGGGCTAGGACCTAGTTCGCGGCAGGATGGTGAGTGTTGGTCCCGGTGAGGCCTAGATGTCTATCCGTGTGCATCTGTCCTTTTCTTGATTTTTTTGAACCCAGCTCGCCTCCGCTTGCCCGCCTTGTCCCAGCCTCCGTGCCCTCGCCGCTCCTCTCGGACGCAGAGCGGGGCGGAGGGGAGGAGGGGCGGGGGCGGGGGGGCTTGGCGGGCTCTGGCCCATCCGGCCGGGTTGACAGGATGCCTTCGGAGCCCGGGCCCGCTAGGGCGCCGGTTTTACCGGGAGGGGCTGCGGGGAGTCTGGTCGCAGGCGGGGGCCGGGCGGGCGGAGGAGCGGTGTGGGAGGCGGCGGGTGTCCGTTCCCGGGTCCTGAGAGCCGGGTCCCCTCTGAACGCGCCCGGAACAGGCCAAACGCACCAAGAAGGTCGGGATCGTCGGCAAGTACGGCACGCGGTATGGCGCCTCCCTGAGGAAGATGGTGAAGAAGATTGAGATCAGCCAGCACGCCAAGTACACGTGCTCCTTCTGCGGGAAGGTGAGGCGGTCTCGGGGTCCCCAGGGGGGCGGCGGCCGGCGGGAGGTGCTGGAGACGTTGGTGACTCGAGTTCTGCACGACGTGCGTGGCTTGAAGACGGCGCGGTGGGCGCCGACACTTCCGGCTGGGACCGCGCCTGGCGGCGGGCGCGCGGGGTCCGCGTGGTCCCTGGCCTGGGGTCGGCGGGGCGAGAGGCTTTGGTGCGGTGGCGGGGAGTCGCTTTGCCCTTTGCAGACGAAGATGAAGCGGCGCGCGGTGGGCATCTGGCACTGCGGCTCCTGCATGAAGACGGTGGCCGGCGGCGCCTGGACCTACAAGTGAGTCCCGGGGCCGCGGGGGAAGGGTGCTTCGTCTTCTCAGGACGCTGGAGGCGCGGGTTTGTCTCCAGTTATTGAGGGAATAGAAACAAAGCTGGGGCGGTAACAGTTAAAGTCTGGTTGACGTGGTTTAGAGTGTCGCAGAGTCGTTAGGGTCGTCGTGACCGCTCCCGTTCGACTTGCGGTGTGGAAACAGCCGCGGAGCTTCTTAGCGTGGACGGAACCCGAGGCCTCGCGGTGACGCCGAGCTGAGCCTGGGCTGGGGGTGGCCCTGGGGTCCTCGGCTCGGACCTGGGCGCTCGCTGGCCCCGAGGCCCGGGTGCTCTTCCCCCGGCCGCGTCCGCGCTCCTGCCTCCAGCACGCTGGCCCGTGTGTGTGGAAGGGGTGGCTGGTGTGCTTGTAGAGTTCAGGTTCTTAATTTTGGTTAATTTAAATTCAAAACGGAAGCAGTGTAAAATATCGGAAGATGGTGAAGCGATAGTATGAAGATCGTGTTATGTGCCTTGGGTGGGGGTTTCATGAGGGCAAAAGGGAAAATAAAGACTAGTGTGCTCTCTCCGACGCGAAAGGAAAACGAATTCGCGCTCGTGCCCACCGTGGGGGCGGGGGGGTGTTTGAGGGACAGTTCCTGGATGTTGTGCTCATTGTGATAGCTGTCTTTCCAAAATGTACTTTAGTCTGCTCTCCTGCTGTAGACATTATTTTCTTGATTCTCTCTCATTTGTTGTACCATTTTATAGTTTATTTTTTCAGACAGTCTGTCCATTCCCTTTTAATGGGGTTAGGTCAGCCTCTTGCAGCCATTCCTCCCTGTTAATTTTTTATGCTCTGTTTGAGAAATGAGATGCATGAGATTGCCTAATTCTGCAAGAGCCTGAAGATGTGACTCTTAAGGGATGCCGTCAAAATTAATATTGAAATGTAAAAATAAGGCAGATTTACTCATTTGCCATTTCACACGTTGACATTGTTTTAATTATGTTGGAACCAAATGTGTTTTTCTTTCCAGCACCACTTCTGCCGTCACAGTAAAGTCCGCCATCAGAAGACTGAAGGAATTGAAAGACCAGTAGAAGCTCCGCCGTTTGAGACATTGCTGGGCCTGTAATAAATGGGTTAATTTATGTAAAAGATTACTTTGGTTTGTTAATTTTATTAATTAGATGTTCTGATTTGCGTTGCATTGCATTGATTTTGCGTTCTCAAAAAGACTTTGCACAAGTGGAAGGACCCACAACTAAAATATACAACTATGTACTGGGGTGATTTGGGAACAAAAAGAAGATTGACAACAGTAGTTAGCTCAGGTGCTATTCTTTAAAAAAGAAAAAGACATGGAGGAGAAATGGTCTGTTTTTTTAAGTCTGTTTTTGCGAGTTTGATTTGAGATGCATTGGTTCAAATTGTGCAGACTTTTAAAAAATCACAGTTAATATTTTTTAAGAATGTTTCTAAAAGGTAGGGCGATGTATACTGCCTCTTAACTGTTGGTGTTTTGTCTGATCACGTGTATCAGCATCTTCAAAATCAACATGAAACTAAGAATTTGAGAACAAATTTTGCAAATATCTACAGTCTGCTCCACTTTTCAGTTTGTACACGAGGATTCGTAGGATTGAATTATTCAAGTTGATACAAATGGTCACACTAATGAAAAATGAAGTTCGTTGGAGGAATTCAGGAGTTGTGAGTAGTTAGTGTTAGCCTTTCTTTGTTAGCCTTATTCAGTCCATCAGTTAATTCTCTGTCAGTTTTGCCTGTTTACCTCTTTTCAAACGTGTCTAAGCTGCTATCTGCAATATGGAGTCTGATTGGTATGTCTATCCTTTCTCCCCTCCAAAAACAGTAATTCTTTAAAAATGCAAATCTGTTGTGAGGAAAACCTGGATTTCTTATACCTTTAGGATAGAGTAAAACCCATTGTGGCTTGTCATGGGCTGGCCCTATCTTTCACTTTGGCCCATTACTAGTTCTTGAATGCTCTGTAAGGCCTGTGCACGGATTTTCCCCTTCGCTTCCGCATTGGCTTTGGCACAAACATTACCTCAAGGTAACACTTCTTAACTGTCGAGCTCTTATCAGACCCAAAGTAGTACTTGTTGGGTTTTTGTTTGCATTATTGTTGCTCCCAACAGTTTTGTTCATTATTGTGTCCCTCATACCTAATGTAATTCCCTGCACATAGTAGGTTTAAGTATTTTGTTGAGTAAATGTGTGGATCTCATTTTTATAACAAAATGGCACCTCTAACTGATTTTGTACTGTGAAACATCAGAAAGTACTGTGGGTCAGTAGGATTAGGACCAGGAGTGACAGGATTATCAGACTTCATAGAAATATTTGGCACAGGTCTGCATGCATCCGCAGGTGAGAGGCTAGGATTTCACGTCAGCATAGAGAGTTGACTAAGTGAGAGGTGGCTGTGGTTAAGAGGCACCAACTCAGCCAGACTGCCTGGGTGGTTGTGTAGTCATGTTAAGTTATTTAACCTGAACAATGCCTGGTGGTAGAATAGAGTATATGATGGGAGCTGGTATTACTAATTTGGAGTCTTACTTGGGGAACGCCTTTGTGTTACTTTGCTTAGGAGTTGGAGTGTGAGTGTAGGGAGTAGAGAACCATTAGAATTCTGCAAGCTGTGAGGTGATATTTAACATTGGTTGAGCCTGAGTATCCTAAGCACAGAATATGTAATCCCACAGCAGCTTTATGAAGTGTAGATAATATTCCCATTTACACATGAGAAAGTTAGGTAACTTGTAAATGGTGGAGCTGGGATTTGAACCCAGTGTTCTTGGCTTCAGAGCTGATAATCCTAGACACTTTACATTGCTTTTAACATACTTGTTGTTTAATGATAGTTGACAAGGAGTGGATGGGGGCCACAGAGACTATTTAGAGGACTGTTGAAATAGTAAATATTTTTGTGTCTAAGGAAATAGTGACTTTCTCAAGGTTACAGGAGGCAACTGGTGGGGATAGGGCTGAAAATTACGTTTCTGACTCCTAATCCATGTTTTTCCTTCTGTATTAGGCTGTATATTTTATGGGTTCAGAGTATATTCCTTGTTAAACTGGCTCTTTATAGATTAAAGATCCCACCTTCATTACTCTCCCTCACCCTCTGACTTGTTTTCACAGTGGTTTTCTGAGCCTTTGAATCTAAGTCATGTAGTTTAACATTGCATCAGGATAGAAAGGTGAATAAGATGTGTTTCCCACTATTTAGACTCCAAGTTTACGGGTCATCTCATATCTTAAATTATTTGTGTGTGTGTCCAGGTAGCCAGGACAGGAGCACATCTAATTGCAAGTTTTGATTTAGGTGTGGAGATGAGAGATGGGGATCCTTGAGCTTTGTTTTAAAGCCTTGTCAGCAAGAGACGAGGACTAGAGATCAAGTTTTGGAATCAAGAATGGGGATGAGGAGGTATGGGAGGACTAGGGTGGTGGACCCAACTCAGATTGGAAATGAAAACATCTGCAGCGGCAACTTTGAAGTGTAGCAACCGGAACCAAGTAGTCTGTGCAAAGTTAAAAAATCTTCGCTATTAACTGTCTTCCTCTAGAAAACCAAAAGCCATTTTGTTGATAGCACTTTGGCCAAAATTCAACAATGGAAAGGGAAACTTTGATTATATGTTTTGGGATACAAAAGTCAAAATGAGTGAAGGGTCAAATTAATGTTATGCCACATTCAACCCTGTAGGCCAGGGCCCTTGAGAGTAGTATCAGGAGAGTGGGTGGTATGGCTGACACGAACACACACCCACAGGTATTTGTGTGGGTTCCACTAATCCAGAAGGGGGATAGTTGAGAGTAGAGAGCATTCATTAAACAAGCGTGCATTGACAACTCCCTGCAGTGTGGACAAGATGTGAGCACCACCCTTAAACATGCCTCATTAAACTAACTTACAAACTTCTGGGTTGGAAAAGTATTCCAAAGTAATTATATATGGCATTTCCAATCAAAATGCTAGTTTTCCCCCAGGACTCTGCAAAATGTAAAATTTATTTGGAGACAACAGAATTAGGACAATAAGAAAGTCAGTGTAGCGTAGTGGTTAAGAATGTGGGTTCTAGAGTCAGAAGTAGGAGTTTATTCCTTTTCTGAACTTGTTTCCTCATCTGTAAAATGGATATAATTTTTCCCTCAAACAGGACAAATTAGGTAAATTTTGTTCAGGAACTCACGCTAATGGTGGGGTCCAGAAAGCCAGGATAAGTAGAGTCCTGGGCTTTGGAGAGGGGATGTTTGGAGATACTGGTGCTGTTTTTCAGTGGGAATGTTAGACCAAAGGAGACAGAATCAGGAGGGAAACTGCCTGTGGCAAAAGGATGAATTACAATGTTGGGGAAGGAGGCTGAGGAAACTTTTCTATAAGGTATATTTTTGGCCAAAGGGGAAAGAGAAACTAAAGCAAGATTTTTGATAATTTGAAGCCTGCGTGATGTCCTGTGTGTGTAATGCATGTGACTGCATGGCACGTCCAGAATATGGAGTGTTCTTTTTTCATGCTTGAGATTTCTTTGGGTTTCTGTGATATTCCTTGTAAGGGGAGGGTTTATTTTGCTCCTTTGCATCCAATCTGCCTGTGCTGTTTATGTTGTCTATGTGAAATTGTCATGTGGACTTGTTATGTTGTAGATTAAATTCTGGCAAATTTTTGCAAAGAATCAGTAACTTTTCCAGGTGATCTGTACATAGGTATTTTAGTCTAATTGTAGATGACTTAGTCTCTCTTCAGTTTACTCCAGGCATGGAGAAAATAAGTTATGGACTGGCTGCATTTGCACAGGAACCGTAAAAAGATTGCCCCAAGCACTGTGGGAAAAGGTGTGGACAACTGATAGAGTAAATGAAACCAAACAAATCTCTTTAGAGAATTTCAATCAAATGATACAAGAGCTGAGTTGCACTAAGTCGGAAAAGTTCATGGACTCCTGCTGCCAAGATCCCAGAGCTGCCCAAATTCCTACCTGTGTCATTTGGTTGGATGCAATAGAGACTGACTCAAGCTAACTAAAGCAGAAGAGAGATTCTATTGGAGCATAATAGAGTCCTTCACAGGATAGAAGGAAAGGACAGGTTATTCAACTCACCTCAGTTACTCTATATGAATGTCCCGTCTGTTTTCTGCTGGGACCCTGACCAAATCAGATGTTTCACAACCCCGTTTTGACATTTTTAGAGCTGAAATTATATCCTTCAAATTTGTTTCCTATCCTATGTCATCTATTATTCCTTCCTCTTCCTTATGTTCTATAATAGACACCTTATTTTTGTCTCCCCAAATCTCTTCCTTTGAGCAACTTCCTCCATTCCATTTGGTTACGGTGGGATTACCGACAACAGGATCCTTTCCCTTGGCTACAAAAGGATGTCACAAGACACAAACTGACATAACTGATCAAACAAATTATTTCTTCTGGGAATTTATAAATTGGCCAGAGTCACACACACAGAGAGGTGAGTAGTTGGAATTGAGTCTTTTAGTGGAAGACTAAGAGAAAGACCATGTCTTTCTGTCTCTACGATTCCCTGAAGCCCTGGTTCTTTCCTGGGTGTTAGCTCTTCCTTTGACTTGGTGAGATCCCAGTGTGGAGGAAGACTCCAGTGGGCTTCAGTCTGGGGTAGAAGTGAGCAAGAAATAAACTAGCCCTCCAGGGACTGAAGATGAGTTCCAAATCATCTTAATCTATGATTTAGTTAATTTAGAATTACTAGTGCCCTAGCTGTCTACAAGAAAAATGTAAATCCTCTCTGGAAAAAGAAAGGACATCCCAAGCTTCAAATTATGTCTATACTGTTTTATATGTGATGTCGGGGCACCCAAGTAGAGATAACCAAGTGTACAAAGGGACAAGATAGTTTGATTTTAAAAACCGAGAGAAACAGACAACCAAAACAGATCCATAGGCTATACAAGTAATGAGTCAGACACTGACTTAAAAAGAACTGCTTAATATGGACGAGGAAATAAAAGACAAGACTGAGGATTTCATTACAAAATATGACAGTTCTTGTACTGAAAAATTTAATAAGTTAGAACTCTATAGATGGATTTAACAGCAAATTAGATGCAGAGTGACAGAATCAGTGAATAGATTTTTTTAAAATCCAGAAAGAAGCATAGAAAACAATGGAAAAGAGTAAGTGTAAGAGACAGGAGATACAATGAAGAGCTCTAATCCATGTGTAATTGGAGCCCCAGAAGGAGAAAGAAGAGAGGTGATAATGGCTAAGAATTTTCTAAAACCAGTGAAAATAGCAAGCCACAGATTTAAGAATCCCTGTAAACCTTAGGCAAAATAAGTGCAAAGAAAAGCACATGTAAGAATATCGTAGCATTAATACCAAAGACAAAAGGAATACCTTAAAAGCAGCACTAAGTCAACTTTTTAATAACAATAGACTCTGGAAGATAGATTTTGTCTTAAAGTCCTTCAAATTCTGTACTCAGCAACCATATCCTTAAAATATGAAGGTGAAATAAAGACAGTTTGAAACAAACCACTGAGAGCATTTATCACTGCAGACCCACCCATTGGACAAAAGGTAAATATTCTAAGGAGGAGACTTGAAGATGCAGGAAGGAATGAAGGTAAAAAAAAAAAGGGGTAAAGGGGCCAGCCCAGTGGCGCAGCGGAAGTGTGCACATTCCGCTTCTCCGCGGCCCAGGGTTGGTCGGTTGGGATCCCAGGTGCGGATATGGCACCACTTGGCACACCATGCTGTGGTAGGTGTCCCACATATAAAGTAGAGGAAGATGGGCACAGATGTTAGCTCAGGACCAGGCTTCCTCAGCAAAAAGAGGAAGACTGGCGGTAGTTAGCTCAGGGCTAATCTCCCTCAAAAAAAAAAAAAAAAAAAAAGGAAATATGCAGGTAAATACAGTTGAATATAGACTATAAGTAATAGTAATAATTTTGGGGGTAATATTAAAATTATTACAGGATCAGCATGTAGATCAAGAAAGAGGGTAAATAGTGTTAAAATGTTCTAAGGTTCTTGCATTGTCCAGGAAGAGGTCAAACTACAAATATGGGTTGTAATCTCTGGTAATCATTAAAAGAATAGAAAATGATGTATAACTAACAAATTGATACAGTGGAAATAGAATTAAAAAGCAATCAGAAGGGATAGGAAAAGAACTAGTAGGACAAATGGTACATAGTAAGATGGTAGGTGTAAGCATATATGTATACACAGATATATGTGTCAGAAATAACGTTACATGTAAATAGACTAAATGCTTCAGTTAAAAAGTAAACAGGCAAGTTGGATTGCATACCCAAAGAATAAAGATTAAAGGAGACCTAAGGCATAAAGAATTGGGTATAAATAATATAAGGATGCAGAGAAGTTAAAAGGATGAAAAAGGATATAACCTGCCAACTAATCCATGAAATGAAAGCTCTATTAATGTTTGACAAAGTGGACTCTAAGGCAGAAAAGCATTACTAGAGACAAAGAGGGGCGTTTATAAAGTTAAACGTAAAGAAAAAAATGTGTGATGATTTTTCAGTATTTCTGGGCTATTGGCAAAGATATGAAACACTAGATGAGTAGGTGGTGATGGCTCCTAAGATGTTTTTGAGGAGCAAATTGAAGAATGTAGAGAAACACTGACTAGAGAAAATCAAGAACTGATAAATTCTACAAAGTCAATCCCAATGACCGAGAGGACCCAGCAAGTTGGAATCATTATAAGCTAGAAAATATGTGAATTAGTTAATTTCTAAGTAATAGATATCTCTATGAAGCACAAACTTAAAATATCAAGAAATGTTTCAGCAGCTCAAAGTATAATAGTAATGCTAATTTTTTAAAAAAGTAATAAAAAAATTTTTTAAAGGGGAACTCCCTTTGTATTTGTTTATGATTTTTTCTCTATTACTGAAGCCTGCCGCTCCGTTTTGTCTCCTGGATTGGCATTAAATATTGATGTATCGCTAAAAATGTCAACAGGGGAAAACAGAATAATCCTTGTCGTGTGTGTGTCACTATATTCACTATTTGTTTTGTGTACTGACTTTGGAAAACAACCTTCATAAGGGGTTGTGGTATAGTCACTGGTTCTCTAGATATTTTTGAAGGTTTATAT